CCAGTAAATAATCACCCAAACACCTTGATCTTCAACCCTTCGAGCCAGCGGAGGTAAAGCAGTTCTGCGATCGGGCTCCGCTTCTGAGCGTCCAGATTTTCAGTCGACTGGCTGCCAACTTCTTCCGCCTGTTCAGTAACAACGAGCCCCTCAGAGGTCATTTCGGTCCCACGTTGTATGCGCTTGTGCGGGAACATTCCTCGTTTTGTTGAAATATGTTGTCTAAGGGCGTTGTTTCTGGGATGGTTTTAAGTGGCGAAAATAGATATGGATCGTGATCGCGACGTACTCGTTGATGCCAGACAACATGTCCAAAATGACATTGTATGCAAGCTCCGGGTTGGCGTTTTTGAGATCTTCAAATCCGCGTGCGAGCATGCTCATACTTTCGATCTCGTGAGCGTCCATATCATCGTGTATATGCTGCACATATTGAGCCTTGTACTCCAGGATGAGGCCGAGTTACATACCCTTTGTAGAACGGGTACGACAATCTCATCTACAAGCGCTTTGCCCGCCTTGGCGCTTTCAGTAACGCTCTTTGCGCGCTTCCGAGCGGCTTTTGCGGCGCCATTGGAGATGGCACTCTCAGCAAGCGCATTTTCGCCACTCCCTTCGCCACTATCACCAGAACTACCGCTCCGCGCGCTACCAACATATTCGTTGGAAAGTCGAAGGGAGCCTGCAGCATCAACGTGTTTTACTGGCCGCATAGTATTCATTCTAATAAAAGTTAGCCACTGAAGTGCAACTATAGGGGTCGTACTCACCCATCTCCTACATCGCCCTCTCGAACGACAGTACCATTTGGATCATTCCGTGCAGCGTGACTCGAGCGTTTCTGGCGAGGAGAGGTGGGCGAAGTAGCGCCGTCTTTACTAAGCGCTGGCACCGAGCTCCGAGGAGTCACAGGCGAGCTAGGGGCGGAGACCGCAGGAGTCTACATTACGATAAAGTATAATGTAAGCATTCGCGCAAAGCAGTGGCAGGAGGCTGGTAGGGCCCCAAAGTAGTACTTGACCCACGAAGCCCGCAGCAGAATGACACACCTTTACTGGCTCATCTACGGCCTGAGGCTGCGACTCCTCATCGATTGCTGATCCACAGACCGCATCCACGCTGCTATAAGTATCGCCCTTGCCCGGCCGTACTTCATTGCCTTCCCCGTCTTCCTCGTAGACTATGTCTCGCACACTACCGTAACCGCTTGGTGGCGCACTACTGCGCACACTCTCGAATAGCCATTCGCTACGCATAGTGCCACCGGCACCTCCGGAATATGTATCATAGATGGACTGGCGAATAGTGGGATGATCATTCGGGTTTGGTGCACGGGGCTGCCGGGTCCGGAAATCTTGGTACCTCTCAATCAACTCGGTCAAAGAGT